TAATATAATTAATTTAATGAGGTTAATTTTTAATGAATAATTTTATAATTATATTAAATATTAAATATTATTCGTAAAAAATACACTTAGAAAACTCTAAAATAAAAATTGACTTTATATATAAAATTATTAAAAATTTATTTTCGAAAAAAATAATTAAAAATAATTACCAAAGACATGTATATTTAAAAATACTATACAATTATAAAAAATAAAAAAAAACCTTTCAATTATAATCTCAAGTACACTTTTAAACTACAACATCAAAATTCTTGAATAAAGGAGTTTCCAATATTAAAAAATCTTTTTAAAAACTACTTCCCAATTCAAGCCTCATTATTTTATAATTTAATATAATTTAAATTACAAAATAATTTCTTAAGCTTATAACCAAAACATTTTGAAAAAAAATAATTTCATTAGCATACGTCAATTTGCCCAAACAAAAAGCAAATGAAGATGCCATCAATACATAACAGAAAATAAATTAAAGCTACCAATTCCCTACAGATTTACAACTCAATGCTGTTAGTGAAACCTAAAAGCAGAGGAAATCAAAAGCAAGATAAGCAGTCAGCGGAAACCTAGGCTCTCTCGCCCCTAATCCTTCTAGCGAGCTGGATATCCTTGGGCACAATAGTAACCCTCTTGGTGTGAATAGCGCACAGATTAGTATCCTTGAAGAGACTAACCAAATATGCATTAGCCACCTCTTGAAGAGCGGCGACGGCGTTGCTCTGGAATCTCAGATCTGTCTTGAAATCCCCTGCCTCGGAAACGGTAGTTTTCTGATGAGCAGCTCCCTGCTCTTCTGGTACTTGCGGATTTCACACAAAGCCATTGTCCTGGGTCTAAACCTGTGAGGCTTCTTGACTCAGCTAGTGGTTGGAGAAGACTTCCTCGCAGCCTTCGTTGCCAACTGCTTCCTTGGCGCCTTTCCTCTGGTCGACTTCCTAGCAATTTGCTTCGTACAAGCCATTGGACAAACAGAGAGATCAAGTTGTTTGTTTGGATTGAGAGAAAATCAGAGAAAATTCATTTCAAAGATGGAAAGTGCTACTTGGGGATGTATTGATTTACCGTGGGAAGAGGCAGTGGAAATTTGAATATTTGGGAAATTTTCAAAATTAAAGGGTGGACGGTGGAGAGAGAGCGGCGTTTTGATCGAACGGTGCAGAGTGCTTGAAGTAGAGTCACACATATTACGATCCGTGTGAAATGCGAGCTGACCAATAGGGTTCGTTTGTTTAGGTGCTAAATTTTTAGGAATTTTAAAATTTTAGAATAGTGGAGGGATTAACCCGGTTGAAAATGGCCCTAATTTTCTATTTATGGAATGGATACAAGCTCAAAGGATTGAGCCATATAGGAAATGCAAGCCTAATTTAATAGGCTTTGTATAATTAGTTATCCAGGCTCGTGATACCCAAGGAAATATTGCCTTGTGAGTTATAGGGCAAAAGCTTAGTTTTAGCCCCTCGTGTTATTAAATTTGAATGTTTTATTTTTTTATTTTATATTATAATATTTTTAATTTTTTATTTAATTAGATAAATAAGTTTTAATCTTTTACCTTATATTATAATACTTTTAGTTTCTCACCTATTAAAATTGAAGAAAATAGTCCTTATTTAATAATATTTTGTTAAGTCTGTTAGCTGATTATTAATTTTATTAGCTGATTGTTAATAGACTGTTAGTTGACAAAAATCTTCTTTTATCTAACAAAGTTAATAAAACTAATTTTATAATATTTCGTTAATTTTGTTATTTAACTATGAGTTGATTGTTAATTGATAAAAACTAACTTTCAGCTAACAAAGTTAATAGTCAGTATAAAGCGAGGGATATTTTCTTCAATTTTAATAGGTAAGGGGTTAAAACTTATAAATTTAGTAAGGTAAAAGATTAAAAATATCATAATATAAGGTAATAAGTTAAAACATTCAAATTTAGTAAGGTGATGGGCTAAAACTAAGCTTTTGTGGAGTTATAGTGCCTGATTGTCTTATCTTTGACTGCCTTAGGGGCTCAGACCCTAACTTCTTTAATAAAAAATAAAATAAAATAAAAAACTAGCAACCATCACCCACTACACAGGATTTTAAGAGTTGAATATCAAATTTCAAATCTTAAAAGGAGAAAAAATTTAATGATTTTTTCCGAGGGAGATATTTCAGGATTTTGCACAATGTATAATTGACTATTAAATTCATTATTTTTGAAGGGAATTAACTCATTAAATAGTGTCAAATATGTGCCATTGTTACATATATGGAACACACAATCAAGGACAGAACTTAACCCAAACCTTGGGCATGGTTATTGTCACATCATAAAATGTTGAGATCACATAAATTGTAAAATATTATCTTAAAAAATGTTAACTTTATTTGGTTTGGTTATTTAAAATAGTTGATAACTATGTTATTAGTTCATAATTAATAAAATAACTAATACTTATTGTTTAATAGATTGAAATCAATCTATAAATTAATATTTGTAGCACCATAACTAACTATTTAAAGGGAAAAAATGTTATGATTTGTGTGGCAATAACCACATTCCAAAACCCTAGGAGATGCCAAAAATTTTTTGGGGGGCAAATTGATAAAAAAATTTTTGAAGGGACAAATTAATATTACACCCATTACATTTTAAAAAGTTTTTTAGAGGAAAATAATTTGTACACTTTTGGTATGACACACCTTTCGATACACGCTCTATTAACTCTCTAAAATATAATATAAGTATAACAAATTTAGTTAGTTCCTATGTATTGTATGCATGATTGCATTTTGTTAATTTGCCTTCAATTTCATACTAAAAAATAATAAATTTTTAATAAATATATTATGCAATGTATTGAATCAAATAATGCACCAATTAATGTAGTTTTTGAAAATTTCATGGTCCTCTCATTTTTTATAGAGGTCTGTCCCTTAACACAATTCCTATATCTAGTTCCTTTTCAAATCTTTATTGCTTTGTTTAGATCATTATTGTTATCTCTAAATAAAATGAAAAAGAAAACTTTATCAACAACATTGCAACTATAAAGTATAAACTAAACTATATTTATCCTATCTTGTTTATATATGATCAATTGCTTCACTTTTTAGAATTCACTCAAATTCTGTATGCAAGTAGCAAAAATAAATAAAAATAATATAGTTACAATGTAATGTAACATTATAAGTCTATAATCATAAGAAAATGATTAGTAAATACTTGGTTTAACACATATTCTAATACATTTCTGGTTCAACTATTAAAAATATAATATAGACATAGTCAATTTAGCTAATTCCTACTTCTTGTGTACATGATTGCATTTTTAAACTTATCTACTTTTAATTTTAAGCCAAAAAATAGTAATTTTTTAATGGGTGTGTTATGCAATGTGTTAAATTCAGTGGTACCAATCACTATCTATAATCATAACATGTGTTATAATATAAATTTAGTTTGACAATACTGACTTGCAACTACAATTTTAGGTTTTTGATCCTTTAACGTATTAAAAATATATAAAATATATTTAATATATTTAACATTTATTTTAATTAATATTTTGTATACTTTTAAAATAGTAAAAAAACTTAAAATCCAAAAGCTAAAAGATCGAAAAGCATTGTCAAACAAAGTCATAATTAATTCTTTTTATTTGAAAATTTATCTGTGATGCTATAGATTCACTTATTTAATAATAAATCATAATTATAATTCTACAAAATATTATAACTGTGTTATTATCAAAAATAAATTTAAGTAATCGATCACATATTACTAATTAAAATTTTGCAAAGAAGTATGTTTATAAACTTTAAAATCTAGCATCAAAAGAGTGAATCTAGGCAAAGCACTTAATAAGCAAGCTACAATCTTAGCCTTAACCTAAATCCGTTAGATGAAGTTTCAATAAATAATTAACAGTTTAAGTTTCCACGTTGTAAAAGGTTTTAAATAGTGAATATTATTCTCTACCATATCATAAAATAATCATCATTCTACATTTATAAAAAAAAAAAAAATAATTGAAGGATAACTTTTTATATAACTTTTTATACAATTTTACATTCCTTTAATGATTAACTTTTTTAATTCTACTAAAACTCTTAATATTATATACTCCTATATTTATTCTTTTGATAGCATAGAATTTTTTTTTTATTATATTAGACTGCATAATAAGAGAGAACCCTCTTATCTTTTAAATTATCTCATTTGTATATTATGTAACTCAAATTTAATACTCTTACCTTCACTAAAAGGAAAATTTCATTGAATTACTTGATTGTTAGAATATGAAAATTATAAATGAAATTTATAAAAAAGAAAATTGTAGGTGCATCATTCCTGTTATTATTTTTTAAAAGGAAAACGAAACTTCTTGAAATAAATAGATAAAAAAAACCCATTTTGACACATAAATGATGTTATTACCACACTCTTAATTATTAATACCATAACTTTTTATCTTATGGATTATTATATCATTCGATTTATTAAAAAGTAAAAGAAAATATAAACTTTTGAGAAAAAAAAAATGTAATATAAAGATATAATAAATAATTACACTAAAAATTTAAAAATATGATATTAAGAGTGTGATAATAACTTCCCTTAACCCAACTTTCCATTTTTTTCCTCTAAGGGGCCCTAACTAACGTATTTATTTAGCTTCTTACTCCCTTATGGAATATTATTGATGTTTTTGAAAGCTAACCTCCAAATTTATTCCCTCAAATAAGAGAGTAAAAACAAAATTACTCTTAAAAAAGAGACAAATTGCACCATTAAATTATCAATCAAAATAAATTATTAATTATTAAATGTGTGATTAAAATTTTTCATTAAAAAAATGCTTAAATGAAAAATAAATTTTTGATATGTGATGATATCATATATTAAATAATAAATAATTTATTTAAATTTATAATTTAAAAAAAATTTATTTTTGTTTTTTTAAAATAAATTTATCTTTATTCTGTTATTTGGGAGGTGAATTTAAAAGTTATAAGTTATTACGGATTTAAATAAAAATTTTTTTGACAATAAAAATATTTATTAAGAATTAATATCTGTTTTAGATTAGGATCAAGAATCGAAATTGGATGAGTTCCATTTGCTACTCTTGGAGTGCGTGGTCCAGTGATGGGCCACATGGGGGAGGGAGTTCGGACTTAAATAGGATTAGAATTTAGATGTGAATCACGAACGAGGAATGATAGTGGGTAGCGTGGACCATCACGCTGACAAGTCTTAATAGGAAAGATAATCCTATTATTTGATGGCAAAACCATTCCCTAAGACACCTAACTTACCCAATTTTAGTAGATAAGCCTCTAAACTAAAAAAAAAGGGGCAGTAAGGACACGGTATTCGTGATTGCAGCGAATCAACCCTTTAGTTAACTATCACTGTTAAGGTTCGTTAATTTATCTGACATGGATTAAATCTGTTAAATATTGGCGTTTATTCCTTTTGCTTTATATCAGCAAAATGATTAATGATTAATTGTTTGTTAAGCCCTCAATTAGTCAAATTTGAAATGAAATTAGTCCCTCAATCTCCAAAATTTTTCTTCTTCCCCAACTTTCTTTCACATAGATGTGCCCTTTTTCCATGATTAAAAAAAAAGTAGTACTCTTCTAACTAATTTTTGCTTATTTTACAGATTTGGATGATTAATAAGAAAAAAGGAATACGAATTAGAATTCAAAGAAAATATTTCTTTTGGTACAAAAAAATTTGTATTAATTAAAAAGTAAGCCATGTCAGATAACTTTACGGACCTTAACTTAACTAAAGGGTTGATTTGCTGCATGCAAAAATATTAAGGGCTTATTTGCTCGTTTTCTATTTAGTTTACATGCTTATTCACAAAAAAAGGGCTAAGTTTGGGGGCTTAAGTAGTGGTTTTGCCTAATTTGATTGCCATCTTCTACTCTTTCCAATCCCAATACATAGAAGGCCATTTCATTTCATAGTTTCCCCAACCCTGAGAGCTGAGACGATCCAGACGACAACATGGCCGGCATGCCGCTTCCTCCTGACGGAACACCCCTCCCCAAGAGCGTCCAGGAAATGTCCGTCAACCACGATGAGCCACCACCTGAGTTCCTTTTCAAGAACAATATTTTGGGACTGTCATACAGTTCTACCCCTCCAGATTCATCAGTTTCAGTTCCAATCATCGACCTGAGCCTCCTCTCAACGGATGTCGAACAAGAGAAACTCAGATCGGCACTCACCTCAGTCGGATGCTTCCAGGTTCATTAGATTTCATCAAAATTATAGTTCTTTTAATCTACCTGAACTCTAAATTTTGTCTCGGAATTTCTTTTCTTTTTTTGAATATGATCAGGCTGTAAGCCATGGGATTCCCGGTCAACTTCTTGACAAGGTCCGTGAAGCTGCGAAACAATTTTATGCTCTTCCACTGGAAGACAAGCAGAAGTATTCCCGAGCAGTGAACGACGTTGAGGGATACGGTCACGACATGAGAGTGACGGATAAGCAAGTTCTCGACTGGCATAGTCGACTCTTTCTCAGAGTATTTCCTGAACATCAAAGAAAGCTCAATCTCTGGCCGGAATACCCAGAAAATTTCCGGTATTAATTTCATTCCTTAATTTTCTTGAATATACACTAGTTCATCTACTGCATGAGGGATTCTAATGAGTTCGAACTTAATTTATTGCAGAAAAATCTTGCATGAATACTCGTTGAAGCTGAAGCATATGATGGATCACCTCTTTAAGGCGATGGCAAAATCGCTGAACTTGGAAGAGAATAGCTTCTCGAAACAGTTTGGGGATGATCCTATAATGCAAGTGAGGTTTAACTTCTATCCACCATGTTCCAGACCAGAGATGGTTCTTGGGGTCAAACCTCATTCTGACAGATCTGGTATAACTGTCCTCTTGCAAGACAAAGAAGTAGAAGGTCTTCAAGTTGTCCAGAATGATACATGGATCACAGTTCCCGTCCTTCCCCATGCCTTTGTTATCAATCTTGGTGACCAAATGCAGGTATGCATGCCTTTTGATCCAACTCAGCTTGAATCTATGACTTCACAAATCCTAAAATCACTGTAATGCACACAAACCAGAAAATTCCGCAGTGAAATTGCAAATAAAACTGGGGAAGTAATCTGCACTGCGATTATCTATATGAAAAAAAAAGGCATGATGAATGTTTGAAATGATGCAGATAATGAGCAATGGAATCTTCAAGAGTCCACTGCACAGGGTGGTGACGAACACAGATCAGCTGAGGATATCTGTTGCCATGTTCAATGAGCCAGAGCAAGACAGGGAGGTTGGGCCAGTGGAGAAGTTGATAGATGCTGGAAGACCAAGGGTGTACAAGAATGTGAAGAATTATGCTGCTTTCAACTATGAGTGCTTTCAGAAGGGCAAGGTAGCACTTGAGGAAGTCAAAATTGATGTTTAATGTATGCAATCCCTGCAAAACATAGATTGATAAGTAGCCTCATCTGTAAGGCTGTGCAAGTGGTTTTAATTTTCTCTATTTCATAGTCTACCATTTCCTGTTTAAAATCTCCAATTCTGGTTTCAATAAATTCAAAGTTATGGTTTTCTTATGCAATTATGAATTCAGCAGTTCTAATCCAAAGCTAGCTCTCTTTTCATTTCAACTTGAACATCAAAACACCCAAAAATGTAATTCCGTAGCAAATTCGACAAAGACGAGCATATGTATAATAGTCCTTTTTCGTTTTTTGGCCAACAAATAGATTTCATTTACAGATATCAAAGAAAGTTATTTCAAGTTCTAGAACAAAAAAAGAAAACTAAAGACAAAAGTAGTTTAAAACCCCACATCACAAAACAACAGTAATCCTACTACAAAACAAATGAAACTAGCCGATGGTAGAAGCAAAACTGAGGAAGGTGGTTGAACTTGAAGACACCAAATCCCTTAAAGAAATACATCCTCTTGGTAGGAGCTAAGACACCACTTAGCCCACTTAGCAAGAGTTTTGTATCTGCACAAAGCCCCAATTGGCAGTTTGCAATGAAAAGGCTGTGCTGGGTAGGCAAATGAGCTGCCTTTCAATTCGTCTCCAAACAGCAAAAACTGGCCATAAAGGCTCCAGAAAATGTTGAGAGGTTCAATTGCCCAGATGACACCACAGGTTAGGATACTAGATTAGTCACAAACCTCTTGAAACAAAACTATAAAAAAGAATCTGCATATGTGAGAGGAACTAGGCAGAAAGACCCGCAAATATTAGTAATCTACTAATCTTGACAAGGAAAAGCAAAGGAAATCCACCTAGTTCTCCAACAGCAGAAATAAAGTAACATAGCTGTTGGTCAAAGCCCGGGGAGATGAATGGACATCAGATCACCAACATAAAAAGAAACTGAATATCGAGTCTTCGTCTAGCAACCTTCACTTATTAGAGATAACCTTTGAGAAGAAGTCAAGTAACCAGGGCTTGTATATGATGTAATATTGTAGGAAACTCATCAAATTGTCACTAGGCAACTGATGTAATTGCAGTTTATGCAAGCTCCTGAGAAGATCAAAGCTACTCTTGAAACAGAAATCCAACCATCTTGAGCAGCCACTAAAACACTAATTGAGAGCAAGAGCCAGGCAGTGTGACCCGTAAACATATGTTTAGACTAGAAAAGGAAGTCAATATGATCATGGCATTTTCTCCATAGCCAAAGACCAGTGCTGTTAAGTAAGCACAGGAAGATGTAGAAGGATACCTACTTATCTTCAAGTCAGAAACAAAATACCAAATCACCATCTAATTACATAGAAAGCTGAAAATATAGAACTCCAAAAAGAAGCATGGACTGAAGTCCAAAATATGACAACCAATAGAACTGTGATGAAAAAACAAAACTAACATCCAGAAATGTTAAAGGAAGCAGAAACACCATCATCAAAGCCAAACTCGGCATCATAATTATACATTCCACTAGAAATTACATAATCACGATTAATCCTCAAGAAAATTGCATAGCTACTCAATCCAACAATCTTGAAGAGAAACTAAAGTTATTTTTATTTTTATTTTCTTTTTCTTTTGCCCCGAATTGATATATCCAACATCGCCAGTGCTCTTAACTTGAAGGAAACTTAAAAAAGTATGCTGTTTCATACAAAATTACCCAATATGATCCTGAATTAGTTTTGAACAGTATTTGTAGTACGTTGGGGACGCCTCAATCTTCGAAGCTGGTCGATCCATTGATCCTCAGGGACCTGATTAGCCCAGTGGGGAGCAAATCCAGAAAACGAAATCCCACGCATTGCCTCCCTAACCCTCGCGGCATTCTCCGGCGTCAACGACGCATTTCTTCGACTCTCGTCTTCCCTGAACGCTCTCTGGATCGCGAGATCGGACGCCATCCTCATCCTCTCCTCCTCTTCCTCCGCTACGTCCTCGGATAGGTGAAGCGATGAGATCCCGTTCTCCAATTGATGGCGATAGCGATTTCGGTAGGAATCGTTGTGATGTTCTTCATCCGAGTTGGCCTGCCCATCGGGATCGGAACGATCTTCGTCCTCAACATCTTCGACAGCGGAGATCCGCTGATAGTATTCCGGCGCATCATCCGGATTCGAGTCCGAATCACTACCAGCCGTGTTTTCTGAGGATAGTCGATTGTGAGAATTGACAGATACTAAAGTAAAAGAAAAAAAAATTGGTGGGAAAATTAGGGTTTATTACCTTGAACAGGGACGGCATTCATTGTTCTTACACAAAGGTGGAGCGGAGACGTGGACTATGGAGACGAAGAATAAACTAGAAAAAGGGGGCAAAAGTCCACACTTTGCCCTTCAACTTTTCGTATATAATGCATTTTACCCCTCTCCTTATAATTTATGAGTTTTTACCCTTTAAAATTTTAGAGTTTATGGGAAAATTAAACGTTGCACCTGCACGGTTATATGCAGCCATAACGTTAAATGTTCGTTACTCAATCAGCACCACCTATATATGTAAAATTTATAGATTGGGACTGTCAACAGAAATAATTTAATAAAAAATTGATAATAATAATTTGGCTTTTCAACTTGTAACGTGAGTTCCTTTTTGACTTGATATTTTAAATTGCTTGAATAAAAAAAAAAAAACTCTAACTATACTTATTTATTGATCATAAAAGTACTAAATGTAAATTTTTTTTTTCTAACCTCTATCTCTATGTACAAATTAAAAATATATTAATTATATTTTTTTACAATAAATTTTGATAAAAAAATATAAAAATAAACATTATTTTTAATATCAATGCACATATGTGATTTTAATTAATTAATAATTTTAAAATTAATTTTTATTTGTTCTATATAAATTAATTTTAAAAGATATAATTAA